CATATATGTATATGTATATGTATATATACCTCCAAATAGAGATATACATATATGTATATATTGTATATACGAATCTCGCTGAGTGACAGCAACAAATCGAAATGTTTTCAGTTACAGTCGCAGATGACAGTCGATATGCGCATTGCCGCAGCTTTCGGGCGACCTCTTCTACGGCTTTGGCCATTGACTCGTTTATTTGAGCCATTTCGGCTCACAGACTTGCCCATAAATTGAGTTAGTTTAATGCAGTTATTAAATAAGAATGTAAACGTCTCAGCTAATATATTCGATTTTGTTAGTTGCTTAGTTTCACGTGTTAACTTTTATTATTTGTTTATATATTTGTTGTTGCTTTTTATCATTATTTCCCAGCATGTGACAAAAACGCAATTTTGATTTCAATTGAAATTTATGCATTTTCACATCAAAGACTTTCACCTGATGCAAATTTACTGACAAATATATGCACATACATATGTACATATGTCTGTTTGCATATGTATATAGACAAGTAGCTATGTTTTCGTATAGAGCATAGTGAATATATAACTTTTTGGCAATTGGCAAATTCGTGTTGCTTAACATTTTCATTCATCGGGCGGATTTGATGCGCATTTCATTTATTTATTTTTATTATCGAATATATGAATGAAACAAACGAGATGGCGTCAGCCAAATTGATTATTGACAACAACGTCATTGGCTTGGTTAACATTTATTTGCTTTATTTATTAATCAAAATTTAACAAAGATGTTTTTCGAAATAAACAAAAAAATGAAGAGACAACAATTTGAGCATAAGTATATATTCAAATATATAGACATACATATAAATATAGTATAAACTTGTTGAAAATATGTTTTGGGCAAACAAAAATACGTTAGCAAAAATTGGCCATGAAGGTCGTTTGTTGGTTTTTAATTTTAATTCTATTTATTTAGGTTGGTTGTTTTTTTTTATGAAATTTCTTTTGTGTCTGGGATTGAGGAAGTGTAGTGTTGTAGTGCAGTAGTGCTTTATACGAATTTTCGTTCTCATCAAAAATTTGTTTTTATTTATGGGCCGACATTTGCGCATTCCTTTCGTCCCATTTGCTTGTACACTAAATAAGTATATACGTATTAATAGTATAGAGAGTAGAGTACATTTGTATTTAGATGTGTACATGTTGCTCATGGCTAAAGCATTTTGCATTTATTAAATGAAAAATGAAGGAACATGTAAATTTGTTGTTATTTAATTACAGCTCATTAATTAAACAACTTGCCACGTGTCCGTTTTCAATTCAAAATTTCAAGTGTGCCGCCAATTCTGGTTGGCAATGCGGCACAAACTCATAAACAGCCTGGCAGCATGCATATAATTATTCCAGACTTCAAGTATTTAAGATCTGGCAAGGCTTGTTTTGAGAATTTGGCGCTATTGCGGAAGTATTTTAATGGAAAGGGCAATTAAGTAATATGTAGAGCTATTTAAACTCAGCATATTAATCAAACCAATATGATATAATGATATTTAGAAATTTTAAATATTCCGTCAAGTCAAACTGCCTGACAGGCTTAAAGCAGCCACCACTCTGGCAACACTAGCTTAAGCTTGAATCTTTTTTAGGCTTCCTTTGGTAGCGTCGTGATTGAAAAAATTTGTTTTTGCCTTGTTGCAGGACTCGCCGCTATCATCAAAGGTGGCCATGTTTAACAACCAGGCGACACAGCATAAGCAGTCGCAGTTATTGAACCCATTCTCGCACGACGGTCGCGCACCGTCGCCCAAACCAACTTTCTCCAAGGATCAGTATGGAAAGCCACTGGCCGGTAGTCTGACAGAGATGCGCGGCCAGAAGGCCAATATGCATGTAATGAAGGAGATGCTGGAGCTGTGCCAGATCATTGACTCCGAGGGCTACGAAGTAAAGGACGAGCCCACCATGCGCGTCATACCCTTTGGGGAGCTGTTCAACGTAAATTCTATTCTCACTTAACACAAGAATCAAATCTCATCTAATTTTTCGCTGGTTTAGATTTACAACTACATTTCGGACAAAGTTGTTGGCATCCTATTGCGTGCCCGCAAGCACAAGCTACTGGACTTCGAGGGCGAGATGCTGTATCAGCGACGCGATGACGATGTGCCCATCTTTCTGCTTCGACCCATTGCGGAAATACGCCGCGAGTTGAATGCCAAGGTTGAAGAAATTAAACGGGGCGCCAGTCCAGCACCTCAGTCTACATCGGTGCTGCTCGACAAAAGTGCACACGAGCAGAATCTAAAAGTGCTGGAGGAGAAGCGACGCTCGTCCAAGTCACGTACACCCTCGCCGGCTGTCAAGTCGAAATCCAAATCAAAATCACCCTCGCCTGCAGCTGCCGACAAAACGGAGGTCGTGCCAGCTGAAGCTGCAGCAGCAGCCGCAGCACTACCAGCAGCAGCTCCCGTTGCAGTTGCAGCAGCAGCAGCAGCAGCAGCTCCTGTTGCAGTTGTAGAAGCAGCAGCAGCAGCACCACCACCAGCAGCTCCCATTGCAGTTGAGGCTGCCGTTGCACCTAGTGCAATGCCAGTTGAGGCAACTGTGCCAACTGTTGTCATCGATCAGCCGCCTGCAGTGGAAGCTGCAGCTAAAAAAGAAGTTACGCCAGCAGCTACAATAGTAGAGCAGACACAGCCGGCAAGTTCATCTCAAGCGGATGCAGTGCCCTCCGAAGCTGCTACGACTATTGCTCCAGCTGCTGCTGCTCCTGCTGATGCTGTTCCAGCTGAAGCTGCACCAGCACCTGTTGCTCCTAGTGCTGCTGCAACTGAATCGTTAAATGAATTGCCCACAATTGTTATTGAAGCCAGCGCAACATTTGTGCGCACGGTCAGTGTTGAGCCGGTTTCGGAACAAGTTTCAGGGCAGACATCAGAGCAGGTGGTAACAGCCGAGAATGCCTAAAGGAAAGAGAGCGCATTGAGCTCAACAACCGGACTTATGGGAACGTTTCGAAATAATTCGCAAACTAGTAAAGCGGCAGCTTTAAATTGCAGCAATCTAGATTTAAAGCATAGTTTAACTTTATAATTAGGTGTTTAAACAGCACTGAAGACACTAAAAGAAAGAAGAAAAACAAGCAAAGGAAGATAGAGAGAGAACAACTATTTATAAATAAATAATGAAACGTAAACATACATATATAAATATATAACGTAAATGTAATACAATATATAGACACAGTATTATATAAAACTCATACTTATTAATGCATGATTATTATATAATATGTTGGTAGTAGTTTAATAAAGTGTAAAAATCCAATTTGAATTTAAACTTTCGTTCTAGCGTTGCCACATCGCATACGAGCTTGTGGTCGTTCGCAGAAAAATGGCAACGCCTAATGAGTGCAGCATCATCAGCTGTTTAGTCCCGCATTTTTCTTTTGATAAATGCGACGGTCATTTATTTGCTACTCCGCCAATCAGTAAATAATGAGAAAGTTCGCAGCTTTTGCATGCGGCACTGGTGCCGGCTTCGCCGCCTACTACTTTCAAAAGCTACGCGATCCACTGCAGGTGGTGCACAATTCGTGGACGAACAGCGAGAGACATATTAGCGAATGCGCCTTGTGGGACAGCAATTGGGATTTCCGCGACCCTAAGAGCTTGGCACGGCCCATGAAAAACGATAAGCCTCAGGAACAAAATCGCTATAACGCCGATCTGGAAAAGAATGTATCGAAATATGCACGCCATATCATCCTAATACGGCATGGTGAATATCTCGATGTGGGTGAAACGGATGAGACGCACCATCTAACAGATCGCGGCCGGCTACAGGCAAAATATACGGGCAAACGTTTGCACGAGCTTGGCATCAAGTGGGACAAGGTGATTGCCTCAAACATGGTCAGGGCGCAGGAAACTGCAGAGATTATACTCAATGAAATCGACTTCGACAAGACCAAGGTGAAAAGTTGTTCGTATTTGCGTGAAGGCGCACCAATACCGCCTCAACCACCTGTTGGACACTGGAAGCCAGAAGCCTCGGTATGTATCATTTTGATTCCATAAAAAAATTGAAGCACTGATTTTAACCCTTTACCATTTGACTTCACTTGCAGCAGTTTTTCCGAGACGGTGCACGGATTGAGGCTGCCTTTCGACGGTATTTCCATCGTGCCTTGCCCGATCAGGAGAAGGATAGTTATACGTTAATTGTGGGACACGGCAATGTAATACGTTACTTTGTTTGCCGCGCCTTGCAATTCCCGGCAGAGGGTTGGCTGCGCATTAACATCAATCATGCATCAATCACATGGCTAACGATTAGTCCGTCCGGCAATGTCTCAATTAAATATTTAGGCGATACCGGTTTCATACCCGCCAAGCACTTGACCAATCGCATACCACGAGAGGCCAAGAACGTTGTCTAACTGTAATCTCGAGACGTATTACTCGCGTTTGCTCCTTCCCACAAGGCTGGTATGCAACCTAAACAATCAGTATGCAATAATAAACATACAAATGCTGTTGTCCACTGATGAGACTATTTTTTACTATTAACGTAAATAAATTGAGGTTTATGTTGTTTCACATTAATGAATACAAATCAATTGAAAGTTTTTGCTTATAACTGGCACATACAAATTGTAAATTGAAGCTCAATAAAGAAAAGTGCTTTTATATAATAATCTGTCAATGACAATTACAATTACATACTCCTCTCTAGATGCCACAAATTATTATTCTGCCGTTTTATTTACATTACATGCCGCAAATGCAACAACTGCCAACTGAAATCGCGGCAAGTTGCTGACTATCGATACTTACGCCGACCATGAGAAGTAGCTGACTATGGCTATCGATATTGCATGCGCGCATGTAAATGAAATTGTTGTTGCCTGTCCACTTGCATGCTGAAACATGCAGAATTTATTGTTGTTTCAGTTAGTGCTTTTATCACCGGTGCAAGATTTGTATAATTGCTGCTGGAACTGGAGTATTCCCTTTTATTATTAAATACAGTCAATCAAAAAATAGGAAAAACACCAACAATATGACGGATAAAACACTCAAACTGTCTTTAAGGAATACCCAGGCCATCAGGGACAAAGATAGCGATCTTCTGTTGCCAACTGCAACGAAGAAGTCGCGACGTGTTAAACGGAAATTGTTGAAAAGGAAGATACAGCACAACTGGAAGGAGGAGGAAATTAATCGTTTGATTGCTGCTGTGGAGATGGAGCCATCAATTTGGATGGAAGGACCGCTGCAGTATAAGTCAGCTAGAAAGCACTGCTGGAACGCTGTTGTGGCCCAGCTGGCCATCGCTGATGTTGACGTGAACGAGGCTAAAACCAAATGGTCCTCGCTTCGTGTCACCTTTCGTCTAAATTTGAGCAAAATGAATAACGCTAGCTCGACGAACGGGAACGCTGTTGTCTGGCGATATTTCAATCAAATGTCCTTCTTGAACTCCAGTTGTCAGACTCATCAATCGAATGTTTTGGTAGACTATCTGTTTATATTTGCATAGGGCTGCAATTGATTTCTTTGCCTTTCATTTGCAGCTCAAGGAGGAGTTGACTACACCTGTGCAAAGTCCATTGCCTACGGCAGACAAGCGACGACGTACACGCGGCCATCCTGACTGCTCCTACTCTACTTTACTGCCGGCCGCGATGAGCCTTTCCTCTGAAACTCCAGCATCTGCACCTGCATCGATCTCACCGAGACCCGCACCAGCACCGGCTCCGGCAAATTCTCTATTATTATCTAATGACGCCCCAGCCAGCCCGGAATCCTCCTCATCACCAGCAGCACGCTTATCCACGCCTGCACTTGCGCCCTTGTCGCACGTGTCGGCTGTGCTAAACGACGGTGCCGACGATGGCTGCTCCAAAGCGGACGCCAATGCCGCTTTTTGTGATTACCTTTTGTCTGAAATGCGAACACTTTCCACGGAGGAGGCGCGCGCGCTGCGACAGCATTTAACACGCACCCTGCTGAACTTCATGGAGCGTGTGTTGGAGACGTGATTGAAGATCGCTTCTAGAAAAGAACCACCTGAACTAATTTAGGCAATCTCCCTATGTAAGACTTATGTCAAGACGATATGTTAGTCAACGTTTATCTTTACGGCTTTAAACAACTGTTTATTTATTACTAGAATACCACAAATATATTTGTAAATACTTTATTAACTAGCCCTATATATTAACCAACCCTGAGCACCTGTTGCAAGCGCTGCAGGCATTTGCGTATGCCCACATCCTCGCCAGCGCCGCGTTTCAGCTCGACGCTGTGCGCCTGCTCCCGCACAAAGCCAAAGAGGGGCGCCACCAGTTGCGGAGCTCGTTCCGCCAGCTTGATGAGCATCTGGAAGTAGAAGTAGGTGCAGTGCGCCAAATGCTTCTCAGCCAGGTTGCGTATATCAGTCGAACAGATGTCGCGAGCAGCTGCAGAACGCTGGAACTGGGACAAGTTGACCAGAACAGCATAGAGACTGAGCACCTGCACCCGACTGGGCTCCAGTTCGCCAACAAACATTACGTGCTCGAGCAGCGGCACATGAACTGCACGCAGCAGCGTCAACAGCTGCGCCTCAGCCTCGGCACCCAGCTCCAGGTCGTCCAAGCCCACAAAGAGCTGTTGCAGCACAGTTAGAATGAGACCCACATGCGTGCCCGCCTGGCTGCGCTGCACGGCAAGGAATTGGTTCGCCAGATGCTGCAGCACATAGTGCGCCAATTCGCCGTCGGAGTCCGCTTGCAAGAGCGTGGCATATGGACGCGCCACCAGCTTCACGTTGCTGGAGAAGCCAAAGTGTGGTGTCCAGTGCAGCACGAGCTGCTCCAGCGTGCGGCTGAGATACGCATCTGTGCGATATGGCAGGCGTCCAATGCCCTGCAGCAGCACTGGAAATATCTTGTGCAACAGCTGTGGCAGCCGCCCCTCGGGCGCAACGCCCGCCTGCAGCTGAGTGGTGAGCAGGAAACGCACCATGGCCAGGTGGAAGAAGCAGCTGGGCTTTGAGCGGACATAGCAGAGCGTCGGACAGTTATAAATCACAATTGCCAAAAAGTTATAGAAGCGGGCTCCCAGCTCGGGGCGCTCCTGCCGGCTCTGTGGCGCCAGCCACTGGTCGAAGTGCGCCACATACGCATGCAGCTTGTGGCTGAGCTGCATGCGGACATGGGCCAACGCCTCCTGCTGCTGGGCGCGTCTGCCCAGGGCTCCGAAGAATGCGCACAGGGGTTCCCGATCTGCCAGCGAGTCTGCGTCCAGGCCCAAGGCGCACACCTCCTCCAGCTGGATGACGAACGGATTAAGTGCAAGCACCGCCTCGTGTTGTGCATTGAGCAGCACCAGAGACTTGATCCACACCTGTATGATGAGCATGCTGGACGGCTGTTGGCCACCTGACGCCGTGTCCCGCAGCACATGGAGCAGCAGCTGCGCACTGGCTGCCGTATTGGCTGGCTCGGCACCTTGGAGCAGGCCCTCTAGCAATTTCTTATCCCTGTCCAGTGCCACGAAGTCGGCAGCAAGCTGTGGCAGCCAAGTGCTGTAGCCGCTGACATACTGCACGCGCAGCTGTGGGAGCACATTCTGCTGCAGTGCATCCCACATGCCAGCGGACATGTTGGCCCTCAGCTTCTGGGCAAGTAGATGGAGAGCTTGCCAAACACGCTCCTGGGCCGCCTGTGCACTGTGCTCGATGTAGTGGGCTAGCCAGGGCGCCAGCAGCAGCTGCTCCCCACGGGCGAAGTCATCGGCCAGCTCGAAGATGGGCTGCAGCGTGGCCGCATAGATGCCGCCCACATCCGTATCGTTGCGCACAGTCGCCAGCTGGGCTAACAGCTTGCTCACATACTCATCGAGCGGCTGGCGACGTTGCGCGTGCAGCAACAGCACAGCCATGTGACCTTTGGCCGCCAGCTGGCGTCGAGCCGGAGGCAGCTTGTCGAAGGCCAGGCAGAGCAGCATTTCGCGCAGCTTTGGCGCCAGCTCACTGAACTCACCATATGTGAGCAGCAGGCAAAGGAACAGCTCAATCACATGATGTATGCCCGACTCGTTGAGCGCGAGCAGCTTCGCTGCACTAAACTTGCTGAAGATTCGTCCCAGGAGCTTCTGGGCCTGGTTGCCGCGGCCAAGTGCCGGCAGCTGTTGCAGCGTCTTGCCCAGCAGCAGGGCGAACAGCGTAAAGCTGCTTAGATTCAAGTCATCCGGCAGTGGCTTGGCCAGCAGCGTGCGATAGCGCTCCAAGTAGGCCGATCCACTGGCACATATCAACGGCAGCTGATCCAGCTGAGACTGCCCGCCAAAGTTGCAGTTCAGCGATCGATGCAGGCACTCCCACAGCTGGCAGATCACATCCGTATCGGGCTGACCCCAACGCAGCTGCAGCGGCGCCAGCAGACAGAGGTAGACACGCCGCTGCTGCTCATCCGGCTGGCAGGCCAGGAACTGCCTCAGCAGGCAACCAGTCTGGAGCACCTCTGCAGACACTGGCGTTGGCTGCAGCAGCTGCATGCCACACGCATCGTAGGCTCCCAAACGGGCAAGGCTCAGGCGCAGCCAAGCGTAGAACTCATGATAGGCCAGCGCAGGCGTAGCATCCACTGAAAGGAGATTCATGTCAAGCACTATTCGGTAATGATCACTTAAAAGTCTTACTCTTTTTCTTGTGCCGCTGCATGGCTCTGTGTAGCAATGGCCAGAAGCCAGTGTCCGTATCTGTATCTGCGTCTGTTAGCTGCTGATGCGGATGCTGATGCTGCAGCACCAGCCATAACTCCTTGCAGCAGCGGCACATAAAAGCCGAACTGTGCAGCAGCTCGGCGCTGTGTTTGCTTCTATAATAGAAACTGGCGCAGAGCACCAAGTCGTCCAATGTGCGCTCCAGTTGCGACAGGTACACGAGCTGCGACGTCGCATCGAGCTCTTGCAATTTGTGCAACAGACACAGGTCCAGCAGACGCCATTCCAGTGCGCCGTGATAGAAGTGATAGGCAGGCGCCTGGCACTCATTGCCCTTGGAATGCTCCGCAAAGTACAGAATGCGCCATGTGTCCGCGTCCAGGCAGCTATTGATTAGCTCGCGCAGCTGAACAATAGCTGGCGCTAGTAGCTGCAAGTGCTGTTCGTCCACCTCGTGTAGCAGCCAGAGATAGTAATGAGTGACCTGCTGGCGTGCCTTGTACCAACTGCTGGCAGCATGCAACGAGGATTTGGATTGCAGCTGCTGCTGACCTGCCACGGCTGCGCTGAGCTTCTGTATTTGCTTGCTAGGCGGACATAATAGTTGAGTACATATAGCTCATGTATATTTATTGATGCCTATCTATGTTACTCACCACGATTCGCCATGCACATAGCGCAAGACAGCGCAGACTTGCAGCTGTTCCGGCTCGAAGTCGAAGCACAATTTTTCCAGCCGACTGCGTGGCAACGGTGCCTTTAGCGCGTAACCATTGCGCACGAAACTATGTTGGGGAAAGTCTGTATGTGTCT